CCTCGCGGGTGATTAAATCTGCACGATTCACTCGAGAGAGCTTTGAACGCTGTATGGAGTATAACGAATTATTCGATGCAGTTCCACAAGAGATAGGGAAGAAAGAGAGAGAGAGAGAGAGAGAACGAAAGAGAGCTAAAGAGTCAAAATTCGCTTGGAATTCGTCAATACGGCTGGTTCAGACTGTGCATATGTGCGCGCGCGGAGACGTGCCGCTATGTATAAAAGCTCGGGCCGATGTCATTGCTGCAGTACGTGCGACAATGACTGCACTAGGCCAGTTCTGCATGCACATATGTGTGACACACATTCACACACGTCATGTATACGTATTATGCACTGCACTGTACGAGTGCGAAATGGCCAGCTTCCTATTTCACCAAGTCGCGTTTGTCTTTTCTCTATTAGCCTAGATTTCTCAATTGCTCGCCTGCCTGCCTTTTCAGTCTCTTTCTTATTGCGCATCAGATGTCTCTTTTTCTCTCGTGCTCTCTTTCTTTCTCTTCGCCGTCTTTCCTTCCTTGCCATATAATTACGATTGTATGCTCTGATGACAAGTTTCGAGAGAGAGAGAGGCAAAGAGAGATAGGAGACGAGCGCACGGCCCAAAGATAAAGGGACAATTTACCGTTCGAGGAAAATTTGACTAATTTATCGTCGAGGAGAAAATAGCAATTCAATTGAGTTATTCGCCCAGTTGCAGCAGCAGCAGCAGCTTCTTGTGTGTGTCTCACTGCCTTCTCCCTTTCCTTCTTCTTCTTCTTCTTCTACTTCTTCTTCTACTTCTCATACATATTTTACGACTGTATGACTTCTCCGTGCTGATTGAAATATTCCATTTTTGATGACTGCTGCACGCGCGAGCGCACACAACGTGCCGCGCACTTCACGCTTCAGTTGACTTTAATAGTTTTAACCTTTTCAACGATTTGCCAGGCCTCCAATGGATTACATTTTCTATATAGCCCCGAACGTTATTGTCTTCGGTATCCTTGAACCGAAAATGCCATTAATTTATGTACGCAGCGAGCAGATCGCGGCAGCAGCTGTACCAACCGGCATAATTCGTTTAATTGAACCGACTCTAGGTGTCTCGCGAACAATACAAAAAAGATAATTGAAAGTGTTTCTTATTATCATCAGAATTGATCATTTGATTTTCCTGGAAAAATATTACGCGCAAAATCAATCGAGCCCACTCATTCGAAATCATTTCCGTAATGTTGATACGATCGCGATTTTAAGATTAGTCGGGTGGGCGTTTACACGAGCTCTACTGCTGCCAAGTACGCTCGTGGGGATGACAAATTGCCAGGCTAAATTGTTTTGGTAATCACGCGACACAGATACACATTCGGAAAATGGAGTCGAGCGAAGCTTCTCGGCTGATCTTACAGATCTACCTTCTCCCCGTCCAAAACACACGAGCTAGCGAGCGAGCAAACGCAGTCGTAAGAACGAAATAATGACAAAGAGGCCAAATCGAGCATTACACTGCGCCATGCAGCAGCAGAGCAGTAGTATAGTAATCCGCTGCGTAGAAACGCGAAAATAGCATCTCGGCGTTCGCACGGATAAAGTTAGTCGTTGGCTTGGCGATAACGTTTCGCTTTCTTCTTCTCTATCCCTCTCTCTCTCTCTCTTTCTCGTAGCACAATGAATTCAACGACGCGTGCGTGGCTTAAAAAAGGAGAGGAGAGTAAAAAAATTGTCACTCGCCAAATTACGTTCATTACTGCGAATGTGCGTAGAGTCGCTGGGCAGAAAAAAAGCTACGACGACGAGTAGGACAACTGCAGAGCGACGACACGGTAGAATGGAAAAAGTTTTATACGTGTCCGGGTTCTTCTTTCAGCGCGATAATAACACAAATTCATGCTAATCAATTTGACCTGGCCATTTTTTGCCCGTAAAAAGTTGGTTGGAAAAAGTTGGCGGCCCTCTCTCTCGTTCTCTTTCTCTCTTGCTCGAAATACGTTTTCGTCTTATATATAATGCCTAGCTCGAGCAGCCCCAACCACGTGCAGAAGAAGAAAGATGTCGGGGCTCGGCGCGTTTAACGTGTCGAGTTATCTTGATGAATGCTAAGCTGAATGCCTAATGAATAATTATCAGCCTAAAACATCCTGGTGTATATAACACGAGGTATACTCTTGATAATACGGCGCCAAGGGAGATGTCGCAGTAGCAAATTACCAAAAAGGGCGAATCATAATCCATCAGGGTCGTAATTTGGAAAATATATAAAGGCGCTATTTGACGGCGAGTAAACATTCGGAAATTCCCGCATGCCGATATTATGAGCTATCGAATTATCTCTTCTCCTGCATTAGCGTCATTTTCTCTTCGAATATAATGCACCTCTCGAAAAATGCATGCAGCACAAAAAGCCCGTGTGTTTGTGCGTACGTGTGTGCGCATGCTATGTACCCGTTTAATAAAAAGAAAGACCGAGAGTGGCGCACTTCAATTTTCATATGTCCGCACGCGAAGCTCTAAAAGCCCGCGCTACGTGTATACGAGGTAAAAAGCAATGGAAATTTGGCATCGGTGCCGTATGCGCATACCAAAATTTTACATTCCTCGAATTAATATAAATTTTTTACAACCGCAAGCGGAGCGCGTCGTAATGGAAAACAAGAGAGTGCGACTGAGTGTAAAGGTGTATACTTGCTGCAGAAAGTGCAGTTCTGCGGCAGTAGTTCTGTGTGAGCTCGGAGCAAAAGAATCGCAGCGCGTCCATAAGCCCTCTGTCTTGCGTTTGCATGCGCTGCACGCATGCATGTAATGCACACTCACCCACACACACACATACGAAATCAGTGTGACGTCGCTGCGAGCGAGAGAGAGGGTGGGTGAAAGAACATTCGTTATTTCAGGGAATATAGCGACGGCAGTTTACTATTTCAATTCGAGCTTTTGCTCGGCGCGAGGACAATCGTTCACTTGCTGTGCTGTGTTGCTCTGTGCTCACTCGAGCGCCGAGAAAAGGAAATCCGTAAAATTACTCTCCTATCTCTCTCTCTCTCTCTCTCTCTATTTCTCTCTATTTCTATCTCTCGGTCCTTTCTCTCGGTCCATGCATCGAGTACAACAGCACCAGCGCAGCAACCCTGTTGAGTGCATGAAACATATATAAAACCCAGATATTCCCTTTATGCGTGCGCTCGGATGAATAATAGCTATGCTTCTGCTGCTGCTGCTATTGCACTACTTGGTCGACGCATACGAGAGCTACTTCATTTTATCCTCGACGCGCTTTCTCGATTATTCGGCCTCCCCCGAAAAATCACGTACAGCAAGCGAGCCCGCGTGAATCGTTCGAAATTGCCGACGCTACCGAAGGTCAACAGGTAAAGTTAAATAAATCAAGCTTTATTGAATCGTAAGCTCGACTTTGGCTACACAAATATTTTCCCTCTGCCACGCGCCGACTATATTTTTATCCTCCCTCGCGAACGCCCAGAATAAACACGAAATATCGACAAGTCGTATTTTTTTCGGAAGTAATATGCAGTCAGGAAGGATATATTATAAAGCAGAACACGCGTGGTGTCACGAGTAGTCAGAGTCCGAGTCCAGGCAGCCTCCCAGCCTCGAGCTCGACTTTTCCTTTCGACGAAGCGAGTCAACGGGGAAAAGAAGAGATAATGTTAACGAGATGCACTGATGCGGCTACCACGCTGCAAAAAAAAACATATGCCGAGGAAACAGCAGCTGCTTACAACTGGGACAAACGATTCATTCCCGAGTGTATTATATACGTCCGACATTATCCCATACACGAAGGTACACGAGTAGTACAATAGCAGCAGCCATACTCTGTTTTTCACAATGGTAATGGCGTATCTTGTGGCGTGTCTTTTCCCATTTTTATAACCGCGTGCGCCCTAAGCCAAGCACCACATCGAGCTTCGGAGCTGCATCGTAGAGGCGGGTAAACAGATATGCGCGACGATCCCCGCGCATCGTAGGATACACACGAGAGCGAGGCGAGACAAGTAAAAGAGTAAAATCCGTCGTAACACGGCGAAGATAAGAGAGCGAGCAAAATCCATTTACGCTAATGGATACAATGGAGTTAGTATATAGATGCCTCGCGCGCGAGACCGAAGAGAACGAGAGGGATAGAGAGAGATATAGAGGCTTGTTGTGATGTTGCTGCTACTGCTGCTGCCGTTCCATATACTCGTCGAGGCACACAGGCGGTTGTACGTTCAGTCACGAGGCACCAAAAGCTCGAGCTTTCCAAACATCATAGGCGGCTATCGTTACTCCGCATCGCTTTTTTTTCCTTGTGTATACACGCGATGTAATTTGTCAAATATTTCCGCGATATGTATGTAGCTCGCGCAAAGAGGAAGAGAGAAGCAGAGAGAGAGAGAGAAAGAGAGAGAGAGAGAGGGAGAAATGCGCAAATCAATCGCGTGCCGAGTATAAAAGTCACTGGGTCATCGAGTTACATACGTATACACGTATTGCACATAATACCCCTTATGTACGTGCAGCAGAAGCAACGCGCTGGAAGAAAAAGCGGAGAACAATGAGAAGCGCATCGGGCGCGCGCTCGCGACGAGGTATATACAAACAGAGTGTCGTGCAAACACACGCTCCGAGCGAGCAGGATACATGCACTCGTTCTTCTTCTTCTTCTTTTTCTTCCACTTTTTCTTTTTTCATCTCTTTTTGCAAGAAACTCCGGTAGTGAGACTTTTCTCGGCTCGCGCGCTCTTGTAAAAATATAAAAGATGTATACGCGAGAAAAAGGGCGGGAATAATGTAAGAAGCAGCCGAGCTTCGAGATTTCTCGCAAGCGGAAGGAGCGCAAAATAATAAAAGCTCGAGCGCGCGAGTCGCGTCGCGTTCGCGCGGCGAGTAATGTGGCGGCTCGCGATAAAGGATGTGCACTCGAGACAAAAAAGCACAAAACAAAACACAGAGAAAGAGACTGAAAGAAATAGTGCGAAAAGATGATGATGCTTTAACCTATTGGAACGTACGTTTGTCCCGCAGGTGTTTCTTGCTACTCGCTCGCTCTGGACGCTGACTCAATGGTGGCCGCTACGCGGCGTATCTCCAATCAGTGTCATGGACCCTAATTTGGCATTTGTAACATTGCACGCACTCACTCACATTGAAAACACTGGCAATCGAACGATCGACGGAAAATTTTTTTAAATTAAATGGAAAAAAAAATTGAAATTAAAAAACAGCGCGGCTCGCGGTGACGTGAATTTTCAGTCTTTCGGATTATTTGGTTGTGCGCGGTCCAGCGACGGCAGTGTACGTATATTTCGTATACCTTATGAAATGCACGAACTTGTGTAATATCAAGCGACTCGCGTGCGAGTTTCGTTCGAATGCGTGAGATATAGACGAATCAGAGAAAGAGGTAGAGAGAGAAAGAGAGAAAAGCGTCGAGCTTGCGTTATATGGTACGGAGCAGCCGAGCCGCGGCGGCAGACTGAAGTCGCGCGCCCGAACACCCCGGCATTTATATGATCGCCGCGCCTGCGCTCGCCCGCACCTACCGCCTATGTATGTGCTTATACTCACACGTCCCTTTTTCGCCACGATTATATACGAGAGAGACTCGGAGTATTAGAGCCGATAAATCGACCGAGAGCAACCCTTATATCATCTCTCGTCTCTCTCGCTCGTTCGCCTGCTGTATTATATATGTATGTGGCGCGTTCATCTCGGCGTACGGCGTGTATACGCGCAGCCTCGTCGTCGTCGTCGTCGACGTGCCAACTACTAGAAACTTGACTTGGAAAGCGCTTCGAGCCGCTGCGTCGTCGTTCGGTCGATGCACTTTCTATTTACTCATTTTCTTCTGTTTGAACTGCCTATCTATATGGGCGGCAATTTTTCGCGCCGATCGATCGATTATTTACCGAACGGCAGAGAGGGCCGCCTCCCATAGTTTGAATCTCGGGCTATTAAATTCATTCTCGGCTAAAATAATTGCACCTCGAAGGGACTCGAGTGAGAGAAAATTGCGTCAAAGCATGACTTGATTACGAACCGCACTTAGGTGTGACGTTACACCGGCTCGTATCACACGAAATTCTATATAATCGAGGCTAAACTAATATTAGGGTGCTACATAGGTCGCCCCAGTGCCAGTAGAGCGAGAAGTGATCTATAAAGGCATCGATGTAAAACGTCGATCGAGCCTCCAGCTCTCGAGCGTGCGAACTTGGAAAGTTTGCCCTGCGAAAAATCCCCGATCGCGCTCAATAGCCCGGCTTTCGAAAACAATCGACTTTGTAATTTCCAAATACTTTTATAAATGAGCTACGTAGGGGAGAGAAGGAAAAAAGAACTCGTTGAAAAGGGCGAGACGAGTCTTGTTGGAGCACCTGCAGACAGGGCTTCATTAAAATATCTTTCCATTATTCAAGCGCGCCACTCAAAATGCGTCTAGGCACGAGTCCGTACATAGTTTTATCTACGCAGCCTTATCAAATTTTCATGCAGATCGAATTAATTTACTTTTGGCGCGAGTCCGAATGAAGGGTACCGACTATATTGACTTGGACGGCTCTCGCGTCTTGTAACCCGACTGTATCGGCTTTCACGTGCGGGTACTTGGCTCCCTTATATACCTACGACCTACATCTTAATTGATGGATTTCCATTGAAAGCGTTTTTCGTTTTAACGATTCGATAAGCTCCCCCCGCCTCTACGTGCCAACAACCTCGTGTATTATATGGACGAGTGGCAAATGTTTTTCATTGGTAAACGTTTTCAAAGCGCTCGCACCTCTTCGACACAGATTCGGATCCTCATCGGGTTGCTCGCCGTTTTTGTACACGCGCGTGTGTACAATGAATGCCGAGACGTAACTATCTATCCAAGCCATGATTGATCATTCAGCAGCTGCAGAGCTATTTGTATTTATGTGAATTCGTTGCACGAGCTTTTTTTCTCCCGTTCGATTCATTATATTGCATTTGGCCTGGACGAGGATAAAATGAAAAAATTCCCAATGCAGCATGAACAGCAGCGGCGGCTATGCGGCAACAGCTTCGGCAAGAGACATATAATACGAAGCTCGAATGTATAAAAGCGACTCGGCGTTATCGGCGATAAATTTTCGCGAGCGACCGCAAATTTTAATAGCAGCTCCGCACCGCCTGCGCTACATCGTCGTCGTCGTCGCGCCGAGACGGGCCATCCGCGCAATCATTGGCTGAGATCGCGTACTCGAGAAGCGTCGCGCCGATTGTCCATGCAAATTTATACAATAAGACTTTCATCCCGAGCAGCAGCAGCAGCAGCAGCAGCAGCAGCAACGTATAACATCTAGCCGGGCTGCTAAGGCGCGAATGTGTATGTATACACGAGAGCCCAAGGCGTGTACAAGATTGATCGATCTTATCGCTTCTCCTTCATAGGGAGCTCTTATCGTTCATTTTTTTTTTCTCTTCCTCCGCGTCTGTAACAGCCAACAACTCGGCGCATCAATAATTAGGCACGAACAGAAAAATAAGTGAGCAAGAAAAAGTGCTGACGAGCGCATTCGTTAATTCGTACAAAAGCGTTACAAGCGCGCGCGGCTTTACAGCTCCGTACAACAGGCCGTAAACAAAACTCTTATCGTAGCTGTTACCGGCCAGTGCCTCGCGCTCGCGTATGCCGAGCTTTATTCGAGTAGGCGCGCGCGTATTTCGGCCAATTTCCGCGGCCAAAAGTTAGCGCTTCGTTCTTCCGATATGTATTATGCACACGATACATATACACACACGTAGCTACATTTATAAACGCGTGGGCGACACAACTGCCGCGTGTAGAATGGCTTGATTGGATAATTCGCCAAAGCGCCGCGCGTGGACTAAACTGCTGCATAGTGCATGGTCTAGCTCGCCGTGAGCGCGTGATAAGCTGGCAAAGCACACGCGGCCTAGAGACTATGCATACTGTGAACGCAGAAAAATACCTTTATCATCGAATTTACGCTCAGCAGCTGGGCCCTAATTTCCTCTCTCGATTTCACACTGAGAAAAATATTAGAAATATATTATATCTTAATTGTTAACAATCGAAACTTGACTGTTGTCAAATGTTTTTTTTAATGCCCGAACAAAAACAGGAACGCATAATCGCGACTAGATTTTTTACTATACAGCCTTGACGTAATACTAGATCCAACTCGTATATCGATTGATTTAACGAAAAACATAAGAATCAATACAATAGTGCCGCGAGTCACGTTGAAATACAAAAAGGGGCTTCCTTCGAAAATAAATACGGTCTCGTGATTAACACGCTTATTAGGCACTCAACGCTATAAAAACATTGGAAAAAATTCCATTCATAAAATCTAGAACTCCGCAGCTTCACTGCTGCTACTGATGTTGGATAAATACGATCTCTGCGCACTACTTTTTGCCAATTTCTGATAAGAGTAGGCACTCGTAACCTACTCGTGTAGTTCTCGAAAAGGGCACGCGACGACGACTGCGCCACTATACAGCCGACCGACGTACCCGAAACTACCGAGTACCGACCGGCCAGCGCGACTCAATGATATCCACTGTAACTTCTGCTGCGGCCTGCGCCGCTCATAGTTCGTTAGGGCGTCCACCGGAAAACATTTGTTCCTACACATTGCTCGAGACGGCTTGAGCTCGTAATACAGAGATGAACAAGTGTCGTGGAGTGTCGTTACAGTGCTGCGATCGATTTTCGACAATAAACCGGCGCACTTCCTCCGCACTTCATTTTGTAAGTAATGTGTTCGATTGCTTTGCTTATTAATCACATAACGTTTCGTAAAATCATAATTTCTTACCTATACAAGTTATAAGTACACATAGTTTATAGAAACGAATATTCCTAATTCAATACAGTTGATTTTCAATGACTGTTTCAGTGAAACAAAGAACGTGTGAATCCCAGCGTGTGAATCCCAGAAAAAAATGGAGTGGGGGATGTTTAGTAACGAAACGTGCCGAGTTTGCATGAGTGTTGACAGTAATTTGACACCCGTATTTAATGTCACTGGTAGTGGTGAAGACTACAGTCAAAAAATCAGTGAACTAGCTGCTGTTCGGGTATGATTCGATTAAAATATCTTATAACTTGACGATCAGAGTTGGCTAATTTTCTTTATTGCAATGATCTTGCATATTTATTTTACAGATCGAAAAGTCCGATGGATTACCAAAAAAAATATGCAAAATGTGCGCCCGTCAACTTGATGCATTTACAACTTTCAGAAGCTTGATTCAAGACTCAGACAGGAAGCTAAGAGATGCATTTAATGAACAAATTGCTGTGGAATCAAAAGTATTAGTCTTGTCAATCAACCACTTTCTATGTCTTTATAATGGTATGAATGAAATGATGAATCATGTCTTTTGTTATTTCAGACTACACAATCAAATGACCAAGTACAAATTCAATTAATAAATGCTGCAACGGATGTCACAGATGAATCAAATGCAAAAAATTGTCCTATGTTTCAAGATGATACATCTTCAGAGAATAGAATTCAAACTTGTGTTTTTCAAGAATTTGATGAAAGCTGTGATACATTTGTTTTACAAGTAGATGATGAAGATGTGGAATTCTCTGGAGAACTACATGCCATTCCAAAAAATATTATTATTAATGAAGATAATTTCCATTTATTAGAAGACTTAGATCAATCTGAAGTAATCAAAGAAAAAAATGTTTGTTATGAACTTGTACCCACTAGTGTCTGTACAGAGATGATAAATCAAAATGAAGTAATTATGAAGCACAAAAATGAAGAAGATACCATTGATATCCATAAATATGAAAATGATAACAGCATAGAATCAAATAATAATGGTGAATCAAATGATGCTAATTGTGCCAAAGACAATATTGTAGGAATAAGTAATGATACCATTACTAAAGTCAAAGAAATTGAAATAGATGACATGACTGTACATTTTCAATGTACACTATGTCTTAAGAATTTTCCCTCGCTTTTTGATGTTTTGTGCCATACAATAGATATGCATGTGCCAACTGAAGGTCCATATTATTGCATAGCTTGTGAAAAAGATTGTGATACTTTAGAAAATTTAAAAATACATGCTGAACGACACAAAGGTCAAAGCCCATACTCTTGCTTCCTTTGCAATAAATCATATATAAGAAAAAAATATCTCAAACGCCATATGACATGCCATACAGATTTTCCGCAATATAGATGTTCAACATGCGGACAACGTTATAAGTTAAAAGCTGATCTTGATGATCATGTACATTCTTATCATAAATTTGCACCGCAATATAAGTGTAATTTATGCCCAAAAGTATTCAATCACAAAGGTAACTTTAAACGACATTTTTCTAGTCATGTAGATCCTAATGGAGAATATCTTCAAAAATTCCCATGTTCTATGTGTCAAAGAAGATTTTCCAATAGTCGTACACTTAGTATTCATATGAGGGTTCATACTGGGGAAAGGCCTTATCAGTGTGAAAAATGTGGAAAAGCATTTTCACAGCAAGGTAACTTGATAAACCATGTCAAAATTCATACAAATCCAAGAAGTTTTACATGTGACATTTGTGGAAAAAGTTTCAATCAAAAAGCTACATTGAAGGAGCATAAATTATTACACTCAGGAGAAAAGCCTCATGTTTGTCAAATTTGTGGCTTAGCTTTTACGTTTAGCGCAGCTATGCGTCGTCACTTATGGATTCACACCGATGGTGGCAAACCTTATAAATGTGATAAATGCAGCTCCACATTTGTAGGTAGCTATGATCTCAAAAGACATATGAAAATTCATCAAAAAAACTCTGAAAAGAAAACTAAAAAAAGTAGAAATGAAAGCCCAGAAACTCTGAATAAACTAATTAACGTTGATCAAGAAACATTAAATACAGATGCATTATTAATGGGAGATATACTTTTGAGTGGAATTTCTGATAAGCTTCTTCCAAAAGAAAAAGAAAACGATTCTTTTCTATTTTTTGATGAAAATTAAAAATCGATGAGATAAAGCTTGAATTAGAATCTGTATTTTATCCCCTGTCGATATACGTAGGCTACGAAATCTTTTCGTCCTTTCTACAGAGGGAGACACTAGTATTACTATTCGGTGGTTGTGAAATGCCCCAGAAACCTGCAGATTTCATATCATGACTGATTTTTAACTCTTTTCACACTCTAAATATAGATGTATTTACGACATTTATCAATAATAATAATAATAATTTATAAGTCATGACATTTTTAAATGTTTAAAAGTTTGAGGAATTTATAAATTTCTTGATGTGTAATATAGATATAAGAAAAAAAATATTTTATACAATTTATATGAATTATGAATTCATAGATTGTATAGAATGATGTTTTAGTTATAAAGAAAATAACGGCAATGAGTCGTACCACAACGACAAAGAAATTCTATTGAGCTACATACCTAAGTGTTCGTTAAAAAGAGAACTGTTACTCGCTATTATGAAATTTTTATACTTTATATCGCTGTTTACTGTCTATTGTAACCAAAAGTGTAGTATGTTTAAGCATAAAACTATGTGACAACAATTTGACCAAAGTCATAAGTTATAATGCATTTGGATTTTATAAAATATTTACGTACAATAAAGTCTACCTGTATCTCGTTGAGAATCGAAGTAAAAAGTTGTCCTATCGTTTTCTTTCATCATTGCGAGCTTTTATTGATCGAAAATACTTGAATGCACAATCCTTGGGCTAACCCAACTACCTTCTGGACTGATCGAAACGATATAGATGCCAAGTTTCGTTACGAAAGCGTTGGCAACGGTACATACGATAGTTTGGAAAAATTCGAACGGACGCGTTCGAAAGCCGAGCCGTTGGCGCGTGCAAAAAAATGAAGCAGCGCGAATTTAGGAAGTCGCTCGTTAGCTAGCGACATCTGTACACGAAGACAAGTGGCAAAAGTGCAAACATATCCTGGGGCGATAGCAGCCGACGCGAACGGGAAAAGGCATGGGCGAGAAGAGGCCGAGCCTCGGCTAAAGGCCGAAAGTGCTATACGCGCACCACCTCCAAGCTGCAGCTCGCGGCCACCTCCTCTTTTGTCGGCCGCCGGGGAGCCTCTCTGCGTACTCGGAGCCACGGGTAAGTACCCTCGCCACTCCTGGCGCACGTTTCAGTCGTCCGCATTACTCGAGGCACTCGCGACTCGTGCTCTCTCGTGGTCGCTGCACTTTTCTCGCTGCCTTGTGTGTCGGTCTCGTGCGAATCTCACCCCCCGCGAGGTTAGGTGCTCGGCCGGGACGTACGTACGATCATGCCGATCGATTGATCTCGATCCACGAGAGATCGGTCAGGTCCGGCGCAGATAGGCGCACATCGTCGATCGGAGTTTTTGAAAGCCGCTGCCGCTTCGTGCGCCGCTTGGTGCGGGAGGAGTGCTGCAGAGCCGCAGGCGCGCGCGAGGTTAGGCGCGCCACGCATATAGGTGTAGGATATACGTCAGTGCTTTGGTGGGTCGGCGGGCGAGCTGCGAGCCGGCGGCGGCGGCGCGACGGCTGCCGAATGCTGCTGCCACTGCTACTGCTGCTTTCGCCTGTCGCGGCCGCTACAGCTACTGCTACACTCATGCTGGCTACTGGCAGCGCAGGCTGCAGGCTGCACAGCTCGTCGTTTCGCGCCGTGCGGCGCGCGCTAAACATCGCCCGTTCGAATCCGACCTTTCGGCCTTTCTAGGAGCTTTTTCCCCCTTTAAAATAAGCTAGACTCGAGATCGTCGTTTGAGAAATTCGCGAGTGTGTTTCCCGAGACGACGAGGAGATAATTGTAACGCGATGGACAATTCAGCTTACGTGCCAAATCAGCTGCCACCGCCGCTGGTCGTGTTCTCGCAGGCGACCGGTGGCTTCACCGAGGCTGCCCTCAGGATGTCGAGGCCCTTCGCGCCCCATCAAGTCAGTATTATGTGTACCTCTATTTTTAAAGAATCTCTTGTTTGCGCATATTCAACGACGTCACGACGGAATATTTTGCATTCTCCCGTGTCAGTGCCGAGCGAGGCTCACAAAGGAGCCTCGATCGATCGATCGATATGTCATAATAGCCGATTATATGTAGTGCATGTGTGTCGTCTCTTGTGTACGTGAATATAATGTGCTGGTGCGTAGTCCTCTGGCTGTCTGTCTCTCTCATGAGTTAAAGAGGTGCAACGCGATACACCCGCAGTCATTAGCTTGGGTTTCGTTCCGTGGATTATTATATCATCATACGATACGCCTCGAGTCGAGTGCATTGTGCAGTCGAGCGAGTCGCGCGACCGCCTACACGACGAGCCGATGACGATGAGCCAAAACGACCGTATAACTAACGATCGATCGTCCCGTGAATTTGCGCCCAACGTATTAAACGATGTTGATACCGCCAATCTTATCTACTCCTTTCCAAGGGCAACAGCTGTTTCCTTCCCTACACAGATATCGTATTGTAATAAGTGCACCTATAAGTGACTCGGTATCTGCTCTTGTCTTTTCCAGATCGGCGAAGCCAAAGACCTGTCGAATCCGTTCGGCCAAGCGGCTGCGACGCTCGATTATCGTCTCCATCACATGCTGCACCTGCAGCACCAGTTTCTGCATCCCCTCGACCATCGGCTGCCCTTCGGTAGCAGTGCCTTCCGACCCCTCGCGCCGTCGGCCTTCGCACCGCCACCGAAGCGCCTCAAGCTCGAGACGGAGGTCGTCGGCTCGCCCCAACCCTCTCAACAACAGCAGCAACAGCAACAGCACCAACAGCAACAGCAGCACCAGCAGCAGGGCGGGCCTCCGGGCACCCCGAGCGGCACCCCGGGTCCGCCGCAGGCACCGCCGGGACTGTCGAGCCTCGGATCGCTCAGCAACATGTCGGCCATGTTCTCGCCCCAGTCGCAGGCTCAAGACCTCGCGCCCCAGAGCCCGGCCAACTCGACGGCCAGCCGATCGCCGACCGGCAGCAACGTCGCGAATCAGAACGCGACCCCGGGCCCGAACAATCCGGCGACGGAGGACGAGCGCGAGGCCGCCAGTGCGACGCCCTGCTCCGAGAACACCGAGAGATCCACGCCCGAGGAAGGACGACCCTATCGCAGTGAGTAAAGCTTTCCTTCCTATTCTATATCTCTCTATTTAAAGAAGATGTTAGTTTGTGTGTGTGTGCGTGAAACCACGATTGTGTCCGTGACAAAGTCAAACAGTTCGAATTATCCCATCATATCCATTTGTCAGGGAAACGAGCGTAATATCAACACAATGAAACAGTCGCTGTGCTTACCATGTTTGTGCTGTATTTCATCCGATGATCGTGCTTGCCCGGGGCTCGTAGAGCTCGTGGCCATTGCTCGTATGGAAAAGGCCAACAACGAGTTGACATGTGCGGTGTCAGTTATACTCTCTCTCTCTCTCTTTCATTCTCTGTTTGCGGCGCGCGTCATTTTGCAAATCCTACGACGTTGTTTGCGTCGAAAGAGGTGGAAAAGTGCGTCGAGTCAAGACCGCGAAGGCAAATTATGATTTTGCAACGTTTACATTGCATTTAGTGCGCTTCCGATGGCTCACGGAGCGGCGACTGTTTACGTCCGCGACCACTGCCGCCGCTATTAATCCCTGCGGGCGTTTGGAGTACGCTCGAATAATGTAACTTTTCGCTCCGTGCTCGGGACGTACACCCAACCCGAGAGTTTCTGTAGCTCGAAAATTTTCCCACTCGCACGTATACATGAGTCGACATGGAACGTCGAACATGTCAATCGAGCAGTAGCAACGACATTTTTCGGATCGCACAGCTCGACGCGTGGGAGATTTTAACGCGTAGCGCGCAGCGATCGTAGTCTTTGTTTTCTTCGTTGCCGTTGTCGTTGCTATTACTGCCGTGTGCACGACGACGATTGCGCGTACTCCTCACATCGTTTTATTCTGCCGTTGTTGCCGCCGTAAAAACTTGCAGGGCTCGCTTAGAAAAATTTAACTTCGAGGACGTTTAGTAGGTTGTAAATACGCGTGTGTATAGGTCTGATGTGTTATGCGCGCGGACAGCGAGAGAGAGAGGAGAGATTCCAAAATGAGGGGATAATAAAATTCGCGAGCTTCCTTGCCGCTCGCGATGCAACGGGGCTATCTTTTATCCCTCACTCTACTCTCGCTTGCTCTCTTTCTCTTGTCTCTCTTTCTCTCGCTGCGCTGTTGGTATTCAGCGGTGTTAGCCACTATAAATCGGCCCTGTTCCATAAGAGTGGCTATTCGGCTGCGGCTGGAGAGAGAAAAAAAATTCGCGTGTACGCACACGCGTTATAGTACGAAAGAGATCGTTTTGGGGCTTTTGTATGATTTAACGTGTACTCAAGACATCTTGATTAAGTACCGTCGTATATTCGTGCGGGCACAGATATCAGAAGCGATCCGTCGTCGCGGCCTAGCTAGCTCGAAATATCGCCGATGGATTTTTCATTCGCGCGCAGTGAGATATGCGCCCGTGTATGCGTGTTGTTGTGCACGTTGCATCGCCTCGTCTGTATATACATTAAAAGAGAGGTTCGCTGTGGTAATGGGCCGTCAAGCGTAATGCGTGGCTGTTGCTGCCGCTGTTGCACCCTCTCTTTTGTCGCGCGTTGCAGGGCTATAATCGCCGCGGTATGCACTTGCAACTCTGGGGGAAATTGATAACTCGAATAAACTCGTTGCAAAACATCGTCCGAGCTCGGAGTGTGAGAGTAAACGGAGGGTTGCACATGCAATAGGCATCGAGCTGCACACGCATAACACTAAAAGAGCACTGCAGTTGCATCTCGACTCTCGCGTAGCACGCACAGCATATATGTATTTGAAACGACTCTGATGCCGCTGAAAATATTTTTTGTGCGCGTCGCTATATAATTCACAGCTTTGACGAGCTTTCTTTCACTCGAAATGTTTTCATTTTTCGTCTCTCCCGGTCCGGCTCGCGGCCAGCAGCACAGCTTTTTCCTTTTCAACTGCTCTGTTGCTACTGCAACTTCTACTACCGGAGCTTTTTCGATTGATCCGCATAGAATAGTTTGTCCAGCATTAAGCCCGGTACAGACTCCACTCCGCGCGCGTATGGCTATATACAGTCGAACTGTCGCGGTTTCGATGACGCACACACATACAGTACGCAGAGGCTCGACATTTTTTTGCCCCGAGTGCTTCCGCCGTTCTAGACTAGCACACGTGTGCTTGCGGTGTTTTTTACGCTCTTGTATTACCGTGTGTGCCTCGTTGTGTGGTCGCACCAAAAAATCTCTCGCTCTTAATTGAAATATCATTGCTCTGCCCGCTCCTCCGCTTGTTTGATCTACATAGAGACGACAGACTGACGCTACACACTGACCAACACACGTTTTCTCTCTCTCGACTTTTTTTTCCTCTCCCCTCTTTCTATAGACACACACCGCTGGGCTCGCGCGCGAGTATAAAATTAAAAAATCATAAAAAATTAAACGCTCGCTGAGATATTCGCATTATATTATTGCGCTTTTGACGAGCGCAGCACGAGAGCGATTATAACACGCGAAAAGGGCCTTTTCATACTGCCTCATTTACGATGTTATATTATGTACGTACATTCATATCTGATTCTCTGAGAAGTTGTAAACTCATAAAGCTATCAGTCGCGAAAGGTTGCGCGCTCGAGCCTCGCAAAAATTATAGTCTAGTAAAAATGTATACGCTCGCTCGTTCCTCCGTCCTGAATAAGCTGCATGTCCGTCTTGTGTGTGCGCGGATAACGTTGAAAGTCTGTAAATTTTGCGACTTTATAATAATTACAACGGTCGATTTTATTTTCGGCCTCCGTTACTCGAGTTTAAAATTCGGAATTCGTTGTTTTATCTAAGCTTTATAAACTTGTAATGACGTTTTGAATTAGCCTTACGTGTGTGAATGCGTAGAAAAATTGATATTTCTTGAACGCGCTAAAGTATACTTGCTAATCCGAGCACGTAAAGCCATTAAATCAGTCACAGGTCAACCTTATTAAAATCTAATAGAATAACCCATCGAGCTTTCGAGGGCCTCTAAATGCCTGGCAATTAATATAAAGCAGAGAGAAAGAGAACGGAGAAGAGCCGTCGCTACGGGAAAAAGGCGCAAAAAGGCTCTCACGGCCTCGTCGTAAAATAGAGAAATCATCCGCGAGCATGTAAGGGCAGAGTAGCAGCAGCAGTAACAGCAGTGGCTGAGATTTGATTACGAAATAATTCGAGCGACGTGATACTAAATCGAGGATGCTCGCTCGCTCTCGGAGCTCTCCCCTGGAGAATACAAATGAGCATAACCGCTGTGCGCCTCTTGTATGTTTCTCCGTTTTAGGCGCACACACGTAATGTAAAAACTAATGCGAGGATCGCGAGTGGCAATTCTTCGCGCTCTGTGCCAATAATAGTCAAATGATTCTTGTTTCAAATATACGTACACAAGGGTATTTCAGTAATCGACGCGAAAATACTACACCTTGTCGTTGTTTGACGCGCGAATATTAATGCATCGCGCGCGAAAGTTTATTATTTATGCTATTTTTCGTCGCGGACGCACGTCTCATTATTCTCTATTCGGCTGCGTCCCCGTGTATTACCGAAGCAGCAGGAAATGCGAAACTCATTACGATAGAAACGGTAACGAGCCTTGGCTTACTGAATTTCAAACGAAAGGAAATTATTGTATTACATCGCGAGAGTCGCGCGTCATTGTTGTACATATGTGCATATTGCGCCGGCCACTGCCGTCGACGTCGTCGTCACTGCGATAACGCGTTAACATCTGTAAACAAAAGTTTTCCCACTGCCAGTGAACAAAAAAAATATATATAAAAGACGATGGAATTTGGCAGTGAGTCAACGATGCGTGTGCGTATGGCTACGTGTAAAAAAGAGGAGGAAATTTTTTCGCAATCAGTGGCTGCGCGCCGAGCTTGCGCGAGACCTTTTCATTAGCGGCGATAAATTTAATCCATGCACAAGCAAAAGGGAGAAAGAGGCAAAATTTCGCGTACACACACGTATGTGTATTTTTGCACTCGTGCTTATAACACTAGGTTGCGTCGAGCAGGCGCGTGCGTGGGCGCTCGTCTGTGCATATACGCACACGGCGCGCGTTCATCATATAATATTTGTTACTGCTTCTCTGCTCCGGTCAAAGAGTAACAGCGGGCTTCGCGAGGTGGTTTCGCGTTTCGAACCGTATGCCAATGCAGAAATAGAGAGAGAGAGAGAGAGAGAGAGAGAGATCAGGTGTGATAGAACAGAGAGCAACAGATATGAAACGTGATAGGGGATACGTTGGGGTGGCTTAAAGTTGAAAAAAAACTTTTAAAAAATAGAAACAGCAATAGCAAGCGTTTGATGAACAAAGTTCGATTCCTCCTTGTTGCACTAAAAAAACAAACTTGTGCGTAGAGTAATTATTCAAGTCGTTTTCAAAATGTTTTACTTTTCACATGATAATAGATATTCTAATACGGTTTACATTCACATTTTAAAAATATTTTTAAAATATCGAGTAATATCACTGTAATATTTTCCAATTTTTCTCAAATACAGCTGTCCGTTGGACACAAAATTATTATAAAAGAACAAATCAGAGTCAACTCTGCACCTTACCCCAATTAAATTGTGTAAAAAGGTTGGCTATCGTCATCTGCTCGTATACAGTGTTACTCGACTTTCCCCTACTTTGGACATGAAATTTTTTTCACGCTCTCGCTTTATTGTTTCAAGCTGCTGCTGCTGCGACTCTTTCGGTGAAAAGAGGACTCGTCGGAGAGTGATTGGTAATTGGTGCGTGTGCGGCCACACGCGAACGGACGAACGGACGGACGGACGGACGAGAGGTGCACGCGCATGAACGACCGCAATTGCATTTCTCTATGCATACATACGCGCGTACAACTGCAACACTACATGCGCAGCAGAGCCATGCCCACCCCCGTCGGCCTTTTTCCTTTTTGCCGTGCTTTCTTGCTATGCTGCTGCCTACGCTGCTGCTGTGCTCGAGTTACCTTGTCGCGATGGACTTTTTATTTTCCGAAATTTCAATAAAATCACCGCACACTTTATTGGCTTCCTCTCACGCGCGTGC